TTAAAACTGTGATCTTTAAGTTTATCCCCGTGTCTGTGAGTCTGCATCTTGGGTCCTTCTCCTGCCTGCCACACAACGAATCATGACATTATTCCAGTCAACTGTTTACGAATAGTGTTCTTTTATACTGATTGTCCTTGATTTATAGAATATACCATTTATATTTTAGGTCTTTAGTTCTTTGCCATCAGTAAAGGCTCTTGCTTCGTATGCCTTCTTGCTCATTTGCCCAGCTTTCTCCCCCCCTGGCCAAAGTCGACTCTGAGCCTCATTGTCACCTGTCAGCAATTCTTCTTCAGATATTCAACATCTGTGAATATCTGTGAAATCGCTTGCAGTTCTAGAGATGATCACACATTAACAATAGTTCTTTTTCCCAACTTGCCACATCTACTGCACCTGCCAGGCTGTTGTGTTAGCATCAGGAACAACTCTACTTCAGTCTGGCTTTTGGTGTTCTCACTAGTGAATTGCAATACTCTGGAGTTCAGTTATCCTTTTCTTTATTTCGTTACTTTGGTATTTCAAGCTTTCATTTTCTTTCTTCAGTTTCACTGTGTGACATAGTTGCTTGCATCCTGTGTGAGTCCCGCAGAGGTTTGAGTTCAACTGCAGTTTTATCTTGTGGGTTTAAGCTTAATGCTAGCTTGCTAAATTAGTCTGATTGCTAGAAGTAAAAGAATATCTGCTCAACTTTCTTAATTGCATGCATTGTGCTGTTTTATCAGAGAAGCCTGATTGCAAGAGCACAACAAGTACAGCTCATGGTTTTGTGTGCTTGTGTTTTAAATCTTTGGCTTCAATACTTGTTTTTGTATACTAGGACTATGACTTGCTATATTTAGCAGCAGTCGTAGGAAGTAATGAAGTACAAATACTTTAATACTTTATTTATATCACGTCAAATCACAATAACAATCACGCAAAGCACTTTATATTGTAGGGTAAAAGTCCTACAATAATAAAGACAACACCCCAACAATTAGATTGAAAAATGAGGAAACTCTCCCTTTCAACAATAAGAAACCTGTGGGAGAACCAGGCTCAGGGAGGGGCGGGGCCATCTGCTATGACCTGTTGGGATGAGGGGAAGAAGACATACTGTGGAGAGCCAGAGATGAATAATAACTTATGATTAAATTCAAATTGGTGTATAAACACATAATGAGTGAAAAAAGTGAGTGAGGAAGAAACAGCGCATCATTGGAAGATGGCAGTAGCCTAGGGCTATTGCAGCATAACTAAAGGAGGATTCAGGGTCATCTGTTCTGGCTCTGACTATGTACAAAAAGGAACGTTTTAAGCCTAATCTGTCTGTCTCCTGAATTCAAGCTTTTAGAGATATAAATAGTCTGTTAGGAGATTTTTCCATTGCTTTATTGTTATAAAGTTTTTTTACTTACAGTTTACGAGGATGACCTTCTTGGTGATATTTAGAGGTGTAAATGGAACAAAAGTGTATTAACCTTGCAATTGCATAGATAAGTCACCTAAGATACATGTGAGATGATTTGAATTTAAAAGTGTCTAACTGGGGTGCAGTGCCAAATGGCATGCAAGTAAGTATCAGGGGTGTTTTGAGAGTAGAATGTAAATTTGTTTAATTCAGTAAATCGTACTTTGTGTAATCTGTCACCTGTGCAGTGTGCCATGAGTTGTAAGTTTGTGTTTTTGATGCAGTTGAAAGTGTTATTGCAGATTTGAGTCCAGAAGTCAGCATTGCTGTTGATTAAAAGGTCTTGTGCCTGGGAGAGACGGAGTGGACCTAACTTTAAGTCTGTTACATTGTTACTAATTTCATAGCCACAGGGCTAAAAAGTTTAACTAGATCAGTGTTGCATCATTCTGTGATGGCTAGTGTGGTGTGGCAGGCAGAATAGGACCCAAATGCAGGACTCAAAAACAAAGGAATAAACCAAGGGAGGCAGCTTTATTGCTGAATCAAGATCTCCAAAAATGAACTAAGAAAACTAGAAACTAGAAACACGGAACTCAAAACTAGGAAACTAAGCCAGAAACAGAGAACTAGGACTTACCAGGAGCAAGAAGGGGACCACACAGCAATGTGAGGTATAATGACACGACAATGAACAGAGGAAAACCCAGGCCTTAAATACACCAGGGAATAATGAGAGAATGGGAAACAGGAGGGAAACACAGCTGGGACTAATCTGACATAATAAGATGGGGAGGAAGCAAAACTGAAAACACTGAAGACAGGACATGAGACTGTCAAAGTAAAACAGGAAACATAAGACAGGCACAAAGACACGGACTTCACAAGGAGACACGACTGACAGGGGAGACACAGGAGATGAATGAACACAGAGACAAGGGTGACTCGACATGAAGCGAGGAACACAGGAAAGGCTCCGAGAAAACATGGAGATAGAGACTATACACTGAGGGAGAGAGAAGTACGATCACGAAGAACCTAAGACAAAAGATAATCAAAACCATGAATAACAATAATCAAAGAACAGTAAAACAAAAACACAAACACTGGGACACCGATCCAGTGCCGTGACAGAAAGCACTTAAATAGAAAAAGCATAGAAAAACGTGCTTGAATGAATAGGTGTGAATGGATGAATCAGTGCTTTGAGTAGAAAAGAGCTATATAAGAACCAGTCCATTGCCTCTATTCCACCTCGCTCTCATTCACACTTGCACTTGACTTGCTTTTTGTCGTGCTTCTTCCTGTGCACGCCTCCACCTCTCAAACCTTAACTTGTTCCCTACTGTCACTACAGATCATAATGTTTTATCTGCCTGTTTGTATACGATTTATTCATTCAGACTCCTGTTTTTAACTCATCAGGTTGGTCCAGTGCAGTGACCCTGGAATCACAGCTGTTCCCATTAGTGTCCCAGCTGACACGGTCAAACTTCGTCTAGAAAAGACGCCGATCTCCAAGGTGTCCAGGGCAGCCTTCTACAACCTGTCAGAGCTGCGGTTCTTATGGCTAACTTATAACTCAATAACTCTGATCCACCCAAGCAGCTTTGTCAACCTGAAAGCCCTGCGAGAGCTCCGTCTTGATGGGAACCTCCTAACATCCTTTCCCTGGGAGGGACTCAGAGACATGCCCCGTCTCCAGACTCTGGGTCTACATAACAATCGTTTGTCCAGTCTTCCAGCCCATGCTGCTCTCTTCCTTCCTAACATCACATATCTGGATCTGTCCAGCAACAGGTTGGTCCAATTTCACAAAATCTTCAACAGATTTGCTCAAGTTTTCAGTTCTCTTTTCCTTTTCTATCAATAGGTTGACTATATTACCAGCTGAGCTGCTGGATCTTTGGTTTCCTCTTCCAGGACAAAGTGAAGGGCAAGTGGAAAGAAGAATTTTGGGTACAGTATGTTTTGGAGCAATAGTAAGACATAATCTTTTATTGTGCAGTTGATATCTATTAGTTGTGGTCATCATTAAGTCAAAAAAGTGAGTGAAATGCACATTAAGGGATAGTTTTACTAACGCGTGGTGCCAGTGAAAGGATAGACTGCCCACAACAAATGTACTTTTACTTCAATTATATTTTTCTGCAACAGAGTGCCTTAAAAATTCTAAGAAATTCTGGATGGCCATAAAGTTTTTATTATCTTGTCATAATCTAGTTAATTTTCCATCCATCCATCCATCCATCCATCCATCCATCCATTTTCATCCGCTTTGTCCGGGGCCGGGTCGCGGGGGCAGCAGCCTAAGCAAAGTTAATTTTAGTTAATTTAGTTAATTTTCCATCTAGTATATTTCTTTAATAATTTTTTTTCTGTTTTTTTATTTTATTTAATTCTGACAATTCGACTGAAAGAAGCAGTAGCAGTACCCAGGTTTTTAATTTGACTCCCTTTGCAACAACAGAGGTTATGAGGGCTAAAAGAACTTAATCCTTGAAAACCAGCTCTCCTAAAACTAGCAGCTGAAACTATAATTGGACCACTGTGTCACATTTTCAACCTACTTGGTTACAAATAAAGTTCTTTCGGATTGCAAATCTGCCATTGTTGCTCCTCTATTAAAAGAAAAGTGAACCTAGTATTTTAAATAATTATAGATGGATCTCTAAACTCTCAGTTCTGGTAAAGTGCTTGAATCTCGGGTCAGTAATACGGTTAAAGATTTTCTGGCCATTAACGCCACCTTGTCTCCTTTTAGTCAGGTTTCCATAAAAAATCACAGTACTGCTGCTGTTGCTGTACTGCTACTGCTCAAGGTCATAAATGATATAACCGAAACTCTTGATAAGAAGCAGTGTTGTTTATTTGATACTGGCTTATCAACCATTGTTTTTTCTCAACCAGCACTTGAGTGGTTTGCAAATGATCTCACAGGCAGTTGTACAGATAGAGGAGTCATTCAAGTACTGTAAGTAAAAAAGAGCGTCCCATTATTATTCAATATTTATAAAACTACTCTTGGAAACATCTTGTTGGAAACATGAAAGTTAAAATCACAGATCTATGGATCTTCTGCAATTTGTAGTCCACAGAACACTGACTGAATTGGGAAGCATGCAGATATCTGGCAATAAATGCTTGGAATAAATTACAGTCAGAACAACATCAAACTTACTCTTGTAACATACTACATGTGGTAGTACAACCTGTTCTTAAAAAAAGTAGCCTTGACCAAAATGACCCTGCAAACTATAGGCCGATTTCCAAACTTCCTTTTTTGGCTAAAATTCTAGAGAAAATTGTGCTTTTGCAACTACAGGCCTATCTAGATGTGAATAGCATCACTGATAAATTCCAGTCTGGGTTCAAGCACGTCATAGTATGGAAACGGCATTGTTGAGAGTCTTCAATGACCTCCTTTTAATTGCTGATTCAGGGCGCTCAGCAGTTTTAGTTTTATTTGATTTGTCCTCAGCGTTTGATTTAGTGGACCACAATATCCTTTTAACGAGGCTAGAGCACATGGTAGGCATTAAGGGTAGTGCTCTTAGTTGGTTACCTTTCTGAAGTTGGACGTACCTTTCTGAAAGGTCCGTCGCTGCTACGATGGGAAGTTACTCTTCCTCTGTTGCCCCCTTTTCCTGTGGTGTGCCCCAAGGGTCTGTGTTGGGCCCTATGTTGTTTTCTTTGTATTTGTTACCTCTAGGTCGCATCTTTGAAAAATATCAAATTTCCTTCCATTGTTACGCAGATGATATTCAAATTTACTTTCATCTGACTGAGGATGTCTTACCGTCACTACACTGATTTTTGATTGTAAGAGAGAAGTTAAGGATTGCTTATTGAGTAACGCACTCATTTTAAATGAAAAGAAAATGGAAATTGTTTTTTTTGACAGCCATATTCCTAGGGGCCAACTAACAGGCTCACTTGGGCTGTTTGCTACCTTTCTTTCCGACACTGCAAGCGACCTGGGTGTTCTCTTGGACAGTTCTTTTAAACTCGATAAACAAGTCTCCACTGTAGTTAAATTTGGCTTTTACCAATTACACCAAATTGCCAAGGCCACGCCTTACATGCCCTGTAAGGATCTTGAGAAACGTATCTATGCCTTTATTACCTCTAGATTAAACTACTGTAACTCTCTCTATTTTGGCCTCCAATCTACCCTTCTCCGCAGGCTGCAGCTTGTTCAAAATGCAGCGGCACGCCTCTTAACTGGAACTGGCAGGTTTGATTCTATCACCCCTATCCTCGCTGACCTGCATTGGCTTCCCATCAAATACCGTATTGATTTTAAAATACTATTACTTACCTTTAAAATTATAAATAACATTGCTCCCAGCTATCTTGTTGAACTTCTCAGCTTGTACACTCCTAGTAGAGCATTGAGATCAACGGGCCAATTGCCCTTAGTACAACCTAGGGCACAGTTGAAGACCAGGTTTCCCTTGATCTCAGTAGGACTAACCTGGTTAAATGAAGGTTAAATAAACAATAACAAATGACATTAAATGTGAATAAGTTAAACTGTCTTGGATACCCAGGTCTCCATGACAATCCCTGGTTGTGTGACTGCCAGATCTCCATGCTGATGTCTTTGTCCATGACCCTGGGGAGTACTGTAGTTCTTATGGACCAGTTGCTGATGTGCAGTAAGTCTCTGAGTCAGTCAGAGTTGCTGCAGACCCAAGCTGAGCTGTCCCGCTGTATGAGGCCTTCAGTCCAGCCTGCGGCCACCAGGGTAATTTCCCCAATGGGCAGCAATGTAATCCTACGTTGTGACGCCACTGGCTACCCAACGCCAACACTGACTTGGATTAAAACTTCAACCTACACAAGTAAGCTGGCTCGGGTGTCAAGTAATGTCACTAACATTTGAGAATTAGTTGAGTCATGCTGTGATTTGTTTTTCTGTACAGATTGTTGCCAACAAGACAACCTTGACAACTCTGAACAGCTGCCTAGGATTTTGGAGAGTTGTAAGTGCAGGTGCTTTGTCGCTTCTAATAAACATTTTTATTTCATACAGTGCTTCAGATTGTCTTACTACTTAAAGTATTGTATCTGTATTTGCGTCCATAACGGAGAAGGTATTTAAAGTATTTAGAACTGAAGTGCAGTGAACACTTCAGTTTCTGTAGGTAGGCTGTTTCATTGTTCTGACCAGTTTTTATCCCTTGGTTCCCTAACTCCAACTGACAGTTAATACATTAATGCATGCGAGACTCAGCACTGCGATGCACTAAAGATTGGGAATTTTAAGTGGATCATTACTGATGAATTTAAAATGTCAATATTATGGCCTTTATTACTTTTTTATTTATTCACTGCAGAAAGTAATCTTGTACACTACTTTACTACAGCACTGGAAATATTATGATTACTACCACTAATAATTAATATCAAAAGTAATAGTAGAAGTAGCAATGGAGTTTACTCTGCAGCATCACCTGATATGCAGCTCAGTTAACTCACAAAAACAAAAGTCCCTGTTTTAATAGGAAGACGTGCACAATGTACATTATTATCATAAAGCTGAGAGCAGAGCTGTCATAGTCTGACTCAGAGTTTCTGTGTTTGGACTTTTTAAATTCATATTTATCAAATATTTGAACCTACGTAGTTTTTGGCTCTCCTCATAGTTGTAATGAGTAGTAGATATCATGATGAATTTAGTCAAAAAACATGTTACAAGATGTTACTAGCCTGTTTTAATTAAAATATTTTTGTGGATCTTAGGACCCCAGATGAAAGCCATGAAAGCACTCCCTGTCTCATAACATAGACATCCAAAAACTCACTGACACTGACAAACAGATAAAGTTTTTGAACTACTGTAAACACTGTGACGTCGGACCCCAACACTTGCACACACACACCGTGGGTGTGGTGACCAGAGATGGGCAGTAACGCGTTACAGTAACGCGTTACTGTAATCCGATTACTTTTTCAAGTAACGAGTAAAGTAAGGGATTACTATTGCAAAAACGGTAATTAGATTACCGTTACTTTCCCGTAGGAACGCTGCGTTACTGCGTTACTAAAACCGTGATTT